GAGGCAACTGATCCATGATTCTCTCTCATGGATATTTCTAACTCTCTATTCCTCTCTCTTCCTTTCTGTAAAAAATCAATAAAAGAAAAACATTAAAAAAAAAAAAAAGAAAGAAAAGAAAAAAGAGAGAGAGAGAAGATCATGCAAAATAATCGTTATTCCATTACACCCACCAGCCAATCTGAGTGACTATGCAAATTAACCCAATAAAGGTGATGGTTAATTTACATATGCAGCCTGGGGGCCTTATGGAGCATCTTCAGGTGGAAAAGTGTTGGGTGCAGCAGAAGGGAGAGCATGGGGCAGAGGTGATGGTAATAGGGAAAGCTTGGGGTGGGGGGCAGAGGCTTCAGGTGGGAAAGGAAAGCATGGGGAGGCAGTTGGAGGGAAAGGCAGGAGGGAAAGCATGGGGTAGTAGAGCCTTTGGGAGGGAAAGTGCGGGGTGGGAGGCAGAGGCAGCAGGGAAAGGGCTGAGGAAGAGGGAGGGGTGGCAGTGGAGGGAAAGAAGCCCACTGGAAGCCCTGTTTTTCCAGGAATCTTCTTGCAATGGGCCTCTAGTGTCATTATAATTTTAGATATTTTACAACAGCAAAATGTACAATTATCCCAAACAAACTTAAAAACTAATTCTTTGAATGTTTGGCAGCAATTTAAAAAAAAGACATGAAAGAATTTAATCCCTTTCAGAAGGAATAAAGGTACTGGGAGGAACTTGAGCATTCTATTATATATTGGACGCTCTTGCCATTTTTGTCAAGAGGGACCCTCTTCTCACAATCCAATTGCCCTCAGCTGTTGCCTGAGCTTTCTGTTCATGCTTAGCTTGAAGCCTTGTGGTGTCTAGTACCAAGGATCTGTCTCTTGCCCAATCCCGTGAGCTGGGACCTCCCTGAAGGAGAAACCTGAGTTCCCTGAGATATGTGATCAGTGCTGCGGCCCCACCAGCAGTCAAAGGGGCAAAGGGATCCAAAGGCAGGTGTTGGGTGTGTAGGCCATGGGGACATAAGGCTACCAAGGAGACAGAACTGAACCTCACATCACCCTGCTTGGCCCTGGAGGATGACTGGTTAGCCAGAGATGACAAGATTCCTCATGGAAGGAACAACCTAAGACAGAGGGACCATCAGGAGAGAACTTGCTGGTCAACAGAGGTGGGGTACAGACCCTCATCTTCCCAACTTTGCAGGGGCTTGAACCCTCACCCCTTCAGAGGGAGGTCTCCTGCCCCCATGGCAGCTTTGCTTCCCATGCCCAGCTTAGATTGGGACACAGATGACAGAGATTTGGCCCAACTAAGATCGGGACCCAGTTAACAGACAGAGATTTGGCCAATAGCAGCTGCCCTATATCTAAATCCAGCCTAGCATTATGAATGCTCATTGTACAACAACTTGCTCATTCCATCGGTGAAATGTCTAAGCAGGGCTTCAGCCAATTTTTGTTCGATTGTTTCTCTACCTTTTTTGACTTTATGAGTTCTTCATATAATTTGGATATTAACCCCATCTCAGAGCAAACATTTGCAATTATGTTTTCCCATACCATGGGTTCCTTTTTGATTTAGATGTTGATTATTTTGGTATGCAGAAAGGTTTTTATTTTGACCCAGTTCCATTTGTCTATTTTCTCCTTAGTTTCTGTTGCCCAATAAGTAAGATTTGGAAACAGCACAAGTGGCCATCAGTAGGCAAATGGATAAAAAACAGCTGGGATTCATTTGCTTCACAGCTGAAAAAGGGATCTCAAACTTTAGGACATGAATGGACTTGGAGAATATTATGTACATGAAATCAGCCAACTTGTTGCATTTAATGTTACTTTTTCAGACACCCATGTCATCTGTTATTGTACTTCCTTATGAAAGTTTAGAAATAGACAAAATCCTGAGAACATATTCTATGGCATGCAGCATGAGTGATGATTATCCCAAACTGAATAAAGCACAAACTGATACTTATGTTTTCAATGTTATATTTAATAATACATTAAATGGGTTCTCATGACATAAAAAGAAACTAAAACCAAAAATATATAACATAGTTGTTTTAATGGATGGTGTATTAGGAAAACGCCTTCCTTATATACTGGAGTTTCCTGCCATATAGAGTGATTCCTAGTCTATTTCTAGTCAAAAGTGACTAAAGCCAAAGATAGGCCTGAGACAGGGAGAGAAAGAGAAGAAGAGATTTTATATATGAGGGAACTTTAAGCTACATTTATAAATATCACACTTCCACCTTCATGATCTAAGAGTACCCCAACTCAGCAATAGTTTTGGGCATATATTGCAGTAATAGTGGGGAGATGGTGAAGACATTGTGGTGGATGTGGGTTTTAGCATAGCCCAGAAGAAATTCATATTTTTCTCTTTGGAATTTTCACCACAGACTCCAAAAGCCCAATTGGAAGTGTCTCCCACTTCTATCTCCCAGGAATGTCTCCAGGAGGCAAAAGTCTGAGCACCCTGGTCATGGAAACACTCAGATCCAGGAGAAACACTTGTACCCCTTGAGAACCACATCCCATACAGAGGCTTATCAAACCTCCAGGTAGGATGACATGACTATAAGGTCCCCCTGGCTACAAAGTGAGAGTCACTGGAAAAAGAAAAAGAAATCATGTGGACACATTGCAAATGAAGTCACTTTATTATAAAGTTACAACGGCAAGAGCAGTTTTGGTTGTCACATCTAATAAAGAGAAGTCCACAACATCTGTAGAACAAGCAAATCCCTAGACACACATTAGAACATTTTTGAAATTTACCTGTTCATGGTCCAATATGAGACTCATCTCACCCTGGCCATTGTCTCAGTGTTTAGAGCTCTGGCTCAGACATGACGGGTCAGGGGTTTGATTCCACTCAAGGGTACATAACTGGGTTGCAGTTTCCACCCCTTGTAATGCATCTGTCTGGGCTTTGCATCTTTTTCTCTATCTCTGAGTCTCTATCTCTACTCTTCTCCTTTCAATCTCTGAAATTTAATGGAAAAAAATATCTTTAGCCCAACCAGTGTTGCTCAGTTGGTGAGAGTCAATTTATGAACCAGGAGGTCAAGGATCCACTGGAGGTCATGGCCTATGCCTCCTTTCTGGGCTTGATTTCCAGTAGGGCACAAGCAGGAATCAGCTTATCAATGATTCACTCTTATCACTTAGTGCCCTCTCACTCCCTTTCCCTTCCACTCTGAAATCAATAATGATAGGTTTCCAAATATGATCTCTGTAAGAAAAACAATCAAACTAAAAATCTGGAACCGAGATGCAGTCTTCCCCCCTACAGTAGACTAAAAACTCCACAAATTTTGCTGTCTATCTGGTGCTCAATGGCAGCAACTATGGCTTCTGCTTCTGGAAAGTCAAAGAAGTCTTACAACAGGCAGGATCTCAGGACTGCTTCAGGCGCTTGCGTGGGGGTCCCAGACAGCGGCCCTGTGCTGAAGCCAGAGAGCTGTACAGCTCAGTTACTAAGCTGGGATTGGATGCCACTATCGCTTGCCACCCCTCCGTCTCTATGACATCCTCAGCATGAGAGTTGATGAAATCCACTGCCTGAGTTTTCAATTGATCTGCACTGTGGAAGTCGGCCAAGGTGAGCATTTCTGCAGCATTCTCCACAGACAGCTGGCTGCTGAGGGCTTCCTCACACATGACCTTCAAACCCTTCAGGGCGTACTTGTCAGCAGCTGCCAGCAAACCATCAGCCATCTTGTCCAGGTTGGGAGCCTTCCCCATGTAGATGAAGTACATCATTTCCTTAAACACTCCAGGCTCCATGTCAATGATTTCCACTCGATTCGTTATGCTCTCCTGCATTGCATGTCCAAACATGGCCCTAAACACTGGAGAACGAGCTCCTAAGATAGCTTTGTGAGCCTGAAATTCCTGGCCAGCCACACAAAAGCAACAGTCTGTGAACCAAGAATTCTCCCAAAGTCCTCCTAGCTCATGGGTCAGTTGGCACTCGGGAACGTTCATCATCTTCCTAGGATTCTGGCTAGAAATGGTGATAGAATCTTGCACCATGCTTACCTCACAGAAGAGGGTCAGCTTGTCATCAGGGACAAACCTATAGTCTTCATTCAAGAGAACATCTCTAAGAATGAATTTCTTGTATCCCCAGTCTTTGCCTTGTACAAATCTATTTGCATTGGGGCTCTTGAAATTTTTGGTCTATTCTCCCTTGTCATTCAGGATGGACATTTTGAATTTTGCCCAAAGTTCACTCTTTGGACAGCTGAGCAATATCAGGTAAAATGACACGTAATCTTTGCTTTCTTCATTTTTCCCTTTTGGGTATACTCTCAAACACCATTTCAGTTGATGAAAAGGTTGAACTTTGAATGAATTCACCCATTTCCTGGGTGCAAATGCTAAAGTTACTGATTGTCCACACGTGGGAGAATTTCACTACCTGGATCTGTGTGTGGCTCCTGCTGTCAGCTACAGGGCCACTGGACATTTCTACCAGAGATGGATGACTTGGAACTCTTGACATTGCAAGTTTGAAGGGTTGTTTTCAAACACCTACTGGCAATATGGTACTAAAATTTTAAAAAAAGGTACAGTGGTGCCTCACACAACGAACTTAATTCGTTCCAGGAGCAAGTTTGTTATGCGAAAAGTTCGTTATGTGAAACGCGTTTTCCCATAACAATACATGTTAAAAAAAATAATTCATTCTGTAGCATAAAATATGCTAAGATGACATAAAAAAAGATAATTTTTTGTTATTATTTTTATTTAGATACATCTAAAAACATAATTAAAAAAAAAAACACACATTTTTTAAATTTTAAGACAGACTAAGTAGAGTCTACCGAATCTTGCACATCTTCATCCATTTTCTGCTTTTTGGCCGATGGTTCTCTTTTCTCCAACATCTGCCGGAAATAACGGACAAGAGTATCGGAGTAAAGATCGTTGATCCTGTTTGCTTCAGCTGAATCCGGATAGTGGGCATTGGTAAACTCCTGAACTGCTTTCCATTTGACCAGGATGTTCTTGATGTCAGCAGTTGGGATTGGTTGATTGTTTGATTGTTGCTCCTCGTTATCAGATGACGCTTCCCTTTGAGCATTGTCCTGTTGCTGGACCAGAAGTGCTTGGAGCTCTTCAGTTGTCAGCTCTTCTTCGTGTTCCTCAATAAGCTCCTCTACATCCTCTTCCTCTACCTCTAATTCCAACCTTTGGGCCACTGTGATGATGTCCTTCACCACTTCTGTGTCATCAACTACTGCTTCTTTCTTGTCAGCACTGCCAGCCTCACCATGCATAGTAACGCTGTGGATTCCACACCTTTTCTTAAATCTAAAAAACCACCCCCTGCTGGCTTTGAATTCTTCTTCATTATCTTGATTGCTGCTACTTCCAGGGACGTTTTTCTTTAGATCGTCATAAATTCTCTTGGCTTTGTGACAGATAATATCTTGGGTTGTTACGTCACCTTTCACCTGCCTGTCCTTAATCCAAATTGCTAATAGCCTCTCCATTTCCTCGTGGATTGAAGACCTATGTTTTTCATGAAATAGTTTTGATACTCCTTTGGCTACTTTGGCTGATTTGATTGCATCCTTATTTGTCAAAATGGTGAAAATGGTGGTCTTGCTGAGGCCAAACTCTTTGACGAGGTCACACTGTTTTACCCCACATTCACTCCTTCTAATTATTTCCTGTTTCATTTCAACAGAAATCACCTTCCTGCTTTTTTTAGAAGCCATGATATAAAAAAAATATTGAGTTTAACTTAAAAGGACGACTGCCGTGATACGTGAGTGATTTAATTCGTAATGAAGAACGATTGCCGCGATACGTGCTTAAGTTAAGCGCAGTGACTAATGACTGCCTGCAGTGCCTGCGCGGAAGGATGCAATACATCGGCAGCGGAAGCTCGGGCGAAGCAGTCGTGGAAGCTCGGGCGACTTCGTTGTGTGAAACGAAGTTCGTTGTATGAATCATGAAAGGAAGTTCGTTGTGTGCAGCGTTCGCTGTGCGAGGCGTTCTTTATGCGAGGCACCACTGTAATAACTTATTATAGCAGATATCAATATATTACAAGGGCTCCAATTTCCAATATTTGAAATATCGATGTCATTACAAATAACTAATACATCTACTTCTCTAGTTAGAGAAGATCCCAGAGAGTTAAGTTGAAAATATTTGTAATAAGATAAAGTAGGCAGTTGTTGAGATATTTACTAAAAAAAAATAAAAAAGGAATTTATTCTAAATTCCATACTCACCAGAGTCTACTCAGTCCTCCCAATTCTGTTATTCTGTCGATAGCAGGGTCCGTAGGAATTCTCTTCACTCACCAGGCAGCTCCAACTTCAGTCAGTCTACCTTGAAGAAGTGAAGTGGGCTCTGTACAGATGGGGCTTTTATATCCCTACATCAGGCCACACCCACTTGCTGAGATTGGCTGAAATTCACAAAAGGAAGTTACCACTTTGAATGGGTTATGCAGATTGTGGTCTGATAATCAGATTAAAGTTACAAGGTAGAAAACAATGCCTGGGGGCTGACAGCCTACCAGAATGTAAATGTGTTTTGCTGTAAGATACATGAAACTTTTTAATATGCAACACAGTACTAACTAGAGTCACTGTCTTACAGATGCTGTAGAGCAGTGTTTCCCAAAGTGTGGTACGCGTATCCCCAGGGGTAATGGAACAGTTTGGTGGGGATACATGTTTCATCGGAGTTTGGTGGGATTATGCACTGCACCGTGCTTAGCTGCACCTAATTCTATGTTCTCATGAGTAAGAGGGGTACTCGACATTAAGAAAATTATAGAAGGGGTACATATATGTCAAAAGTTTGGGAAACACAGCTAGAGAATTCTTATTAACAGAGGCGCCATGGTACCTGCTTTTTGTTGAAACCCATCACAGGTTAACAATTTGCTGATGCCACCTCCACATGAATTACTTCCCACATTATTAAATGTTTGAGAATTTAAGTTCCGTTTTTACAAATTTATGAAAAATAATTAACATTGCTGTAAGTTTAAAAAGTGAAAATCTAAGTAACTCAACTTTTATAAATTATGGAAAAACAAATATAAAAGTCATCAGAGAACACATATCCTAGAAAGAGGTGAAACTGCTTCCCTCTCAGTGTATAGGAGTGTAAGCCAACAAAGGGAAGGGTCATTGATTCACAAGATCCCAAAATTAATTAATTCTCAGAAAATGTCCTCACACATTCTTCAACATGTTGCTAGTCACCCAAGTAAGCATATAGCTGGTTTCATTTTCCCACAAAAATCAATAAATTCTGAGGGCATTGTACCATCCTACGGTGCTGTTACCTAGTGCTGTTCCTTATATGACCTTGTCCAATACTCACTTGCACTATTATTTACTAGATTTCTGATTCTGTCACACAGCATTTTAACATTCTATAATCCAGGCCCTGAAATCTCATTCCTGTTTCCAAAAGAAATATAGCAGCCAGGATGGGTTTGGCTCAGTGGATAGAGCGTTGGCCTTCAAACTGAAAAGTCCAGGTTCGATTCTGGGCAAGGGCATGTACCTTGGTTGCGGGCACATCCCCAGTGGGGGGTGTGCAAGAGGCAGCTGAAAAGTGATTCTCTCTCATCGATATTTCTAACTCTCTATCCCTCTCTCTTCCTCTCTGTGAAATATCAATAATAGAATATTAAAAAAAAAAAAAGAAATATAGCAACTAGTCTGGCTGTTGTGGTTGAATAATTGAGTCTCCACTCATGAACCGGATGGACTTGGTTTGAATTCTGGACAGGGTACATGCCAGAATTTCAGGCTAGATTCTCTTAAAGGGCTTGTAGGAAGCAGCCGATCAATCATGATCTGTCCACATTAATGTTACCCTCTCTTTCTGTCTTCCCTTCCTGTCTCTGAAATCAATAAAAATTATATTTATCAAAATAAATAAATATAGTAACTAAGACATTATAATCAAGTTTTGCTAGGTTCCATAGTAGCTTCTCAATTCCCCTCCACCAATCCCATTCTTCAAGGTAATGCAAAACCGCTAGAATCTTCAGATTATAGGTTAGTGTAAAAGATAAATGCAGGCACAGAGAAATAAAAAATTCATAAGAGATCAAATAAGGAAGAGGGATCTGCGGTGTACAATTGAAGGAGAAAACAAAGAGCAGATGACTGCACCTGAGAATCCTTCACCCTCATCTTCCCCCAAAAATCCTGGGAAAACAATGACTAAAGAGGATTTAATAGGCTGGAATCTCTGCTTTGGCTAACTTGAGCCAGCTAGCAATAAGCAGGAAACAGCTATTCTCTGCCATGGGAAAGTTCTAACACATTGGACTTGCCCTTCTGATGTTGCTCAGACACTCTTCATTGGCCCCAGAATCAAGAGGTCATAGGTTCATTCCCTGTCAGGACACATGCTTGATTGTGGGCTCCAATCATAGTGGGCCATGTGCAAAAGGCAGAAAACCAATAATTCCCTCTCATATTTCCATCTCCCTCTCCATTCTTCTCTGAAATCAATAAAAATATATTTAGAAGAGAACATAATATCTGCTGTTACCACATACTGCATTCTCAGCACTACTATTGATTACTATTCAATGCGATTAGACAGATGAAAGAAGAAATCTTCTAAGAGAAAAGTGGAAAGAAAACTATTATAACTAACAATGTGAGCCCAATATGATTGCATGATTAGAAATTTTCCTGAAATCTATAATTAATGCAGTTAGGAAGAAATGAGATCAGTGAATTTCCTCTAAACAATAAAAAAAAATAGGAAAGAAAATTTAAAGTCCATTTTATAGGATCAGAAACTGAAATTCATGAAAATAAATCTAAGAAATGTCATGTAATTCTGTGTGTATAAAGTATTAAACACTATTGAAAGAAGCAAAAGAAAGAACTATGAATCCTGCAAATGGGAATATCCCATATTCATCCATTGAAACACATAATATGGTAACTATGGCCAAAGTCACCAAACAGACCAATACCATTAATAAGTTTCAATAACTTAAAAAATGTGTGTGCATATACATGTGTATGTAATTTAGAAGTTTGATTTTAAATGTATGTGTGTGACAAGGACTATTCCAAGATGTTTTAGTCAATAAAGGAGAGAGAGACCAGAATAAAAATGAATTATCATTATAGGCATAATCAACTCAATTACTTTCATATCTACATAGCTTACATATAACTGCTTCCATATTGTGGGGCTGAATATTTGTGTAAAGAAAATATAAACTGTCGTAGGAACAGTTTATAAAGGTCACTCACACACTGTGAACCTGAATGACATCAGTGAGTTTTTATTTTTAATTTAATAGCATTCACTATTGTGAATTATGTGGCACTGGTTTGGTTTGTCATATGAAATAATTTGCTTTAGAATATTAATAAAACATATTAATTAAAAACATACAAAATATCATGGACTAAATCAGTAAACACAGAATGTACTAGTATTCCTATCTCGGGTGAATAATATGTGGCATATTTTGTGAAATGATACTCC